TATACAATTCTAATTTTCAGTGTAAAATGTGGAAATTCAAATCCCAAATGTTTGTAATTCGAGGGATAAGTGTAATCAAAGACAATGTCTAATTACATGCTGAGGTACTTTTGATATTGTGCATGAATAACATACCCTAATTACCATGAACCGAACCAAAACAAAAATAAAAAATGAGTAAGTGTAGCTATATGTGGAGATAAGTAATACTATTGTTCAAATAAGCCGCTTTTGATTTTGGAAACCGACTGTCCAATTAGGATGCATTACCAGTAAGGATGGGAATTGACCTCCTGATCTGAAGAGTTCATCTTGCTTAAAATGTTTGTTGATTTTAACACGATTTTAGGTGTACATTTAAAGACTGCGTCTTCTTACATTAAAAAGCCTTTGAGTTCTTCTCAAAACATCATATTAAAACATCAACATAAAACTGTTCAGTACAAACTCCAGTGCCTACAGCAGTAGCAGCTTTTAAGCAATTAAAGGTTCAGAACTAAACATGCAGCAAGTGATATATACGGCAAAATTACCAGTATTGTGTTGTAAAGGATTTTAGGTACTGTGAATTACATAATCTGATTACAAGAAAAAAAAAAACAAATATTTGCAATTAGAGTAAATAACATTCAAAAACACTTCTGATCAGATTACTTGAAAGAATTACCGTTTTAAAGGTTTACATTTTTAATTAGGCGTGCATGAATGTGAATAAATCTGTTACTGTCTCTGCAGCGGACTGCTGATCAAACCATTTTGATATACACTGATCTCTCATCCATTCTAAAGCACAATACAGTGTCTTTGGATATTTGCAAGATGGGGACATCTGCATTTGACCACTGGATGTACTGAAAGACCAAGAGTTCAAGAGGTTTATCCGTCACGTACACAGTTGCACACCTACAACATGTAGTGAAATGTAACCCTGGTTACTGCAAGCAGCTGTAACATTGCAATACAGCGAAGATTCAACATATAATTTAAATAGGGAGGCATATTTTGCATGACCTTTCTTGCTAGGTAGTTAATGTTAGCTAGCCATCTGAGTTCTGTCAGCTGTATCTAGCTGGCTGAAAATAGCTAGCTAGCTATTTGGTTAAATGTAGCCCATGTTTCTAGCGAGCATTAGTCATTTACCAGCATGTAGGGCTGGGTCATATGGCAAAGTATTTTATCATAATAATTTCTGTCATACAAGGTTACCTGGCTAGCATGAGATTTTCAATTTGAGGCAACTCTGCACACAGGTTTACATGCTTTTACATACATGTAACAGTTTTTTTTAACCTTGTAAAACTACCACAACGCTTTTGATGTAGCTAATTTTAAGTTTATAATGAAATAATATAGATTTGCTGTAAGATTTCCTGTGTGAGCAAGAGATTCTGAAAGCATGATGTGTGAGAGTTGGCAACCCTGCTCATCAGTCGATGTCGATAATTATCACAAAATAGTTCAAATTATTTCATTTCTCCAGTGCTCAGTTTTTCTTTTAAAATCCCTTAGGATTAATCTTAAAACAGATTCCAAACAGTTTGTTGCTGATTTTTTCTCTGTCTACTACACTGCTTGTTTCAAAGAATGGGACTGACAATCCATCCTGTATTGAGAAATAAAGAGCTGTGCAATTTGTCCTGTATTTCGTGATCTCACCCCAACCCTGTTCATGGTCCGACTGAATAATGGAAATCAAAATTGTCAGTGTCTATGACTGTAAGCCATTGCATGTTCCACTGAATAGCAATGCATGGTGTGATTGAATAACTTTGCAATGTTTCCAGTTTTATTTGGCACAAGTTTTCGGCAGAGTTTACAATACAAGTCTCTTGTCAGACTACATTGCCAAAGTACCACCACACAACCGACATCTTTTTTGCCTTGTTTATCCACAATATCTCCTTTTAAGATGTTGTGGCTGCTACACTGTCACCATCTTAACCCACACTTGAAGTTTCCTCTGAGGAAGAGCTCATCTCTCCAATGACTCACATGTTTGTTTCACTGAAACCGTAACACCTGCCTTGCGCCACTAACTCAGTCAATTTAGCTAGAGGTTTGTTAGCCATTGGTTGTCTGTTCCCAACACTATTGTATGATTGGTAGGAATTACTTCTGTTTCTGTGATGTGATTTTGTGCTATCAGTCAATGTCCCTTATTGACAGTTTTATTGAAGTGTCTCATTTTCTTATTGTTTCTATTTTATATGACAATAAGTCGATAAATCATTTATACTGCTCAGCCATATTATGAAACGAATAACACCAATTAGATCAAGTCATTGTATAGAAGAAATCTAACTAATCAAATTAGATTACACATTTCAAGTAATACAAAGAATGACACTACTGATAACATTTTTAGTTAATTTTATATAACTTGAAATCTATACATACGAGTATTACTTTTCTGAAGTAATCTACCCAACACTGAAAATTGCCACCTTTACAGCATGTTAATGAAAACAAGCTGGGTATGAAAATGAATCTGAACCGACGATTGAGACTGTTAACTGAAAAATGTCTTACTATATGTTTAGTTTTTAAAAATAAACTAAAGTGAAATTCTCTACAGAATATCAATGGTGATAGACTGAAATCTGCTTAGCTTTCTCAAAAAGGACTCAAAGCACGCCCCAAAGCAAGCCAAGAGCACTATCTAATGGGGTCAAAAAAATACAGCATATGGTTCGTGAAGCTTCATTTGGCCATCACTAGTTAAATCCAATCATGGAACGCCAAGTTATCAATGTTGATCTGCAACTTTTTTCTCCTCGCCAAAACCACAGATAGGTTACCTATAACTTCCAATTAAAATCTTGCACCACTCGATTCAGTTCTAAAGAACACTTCATTGAAATCAATGTCTAGATGATGCACCCATAAAAATCACAAGCTGTGATTAAAGCTTCTCAAACACTGGCTGTCAGTGTCGAGTACAGAATCATAGCTTGATCCAGCTCCTGTGTTATTAGTTAACACTAATGTACATGGACAGCATGCAAAAAAAGAAAACCCCTTTGGGACGTATTCATTGAGATAGACTGAGTTCTATGATGCGACCTCTTTGTGGTCCACTGTGATTGTTACATTATTGTGTCACAAACAATGCACCAAATTCTCAATAATATGCACACTGCAATGCCGAGTTTATGCACACAATGAAATTCTGAATCAAGAATTTTAACTAAATCCTTTGAAATGAAGCCATATAAAATCAAGGATAAACACCTTACAAGGCTGTCGGCACCACAAAAAAAAATGGATAATGGATCAGGTGGACCTCACACAGGAGAGACAACGATAATTATTTCAACATGGTGGACCTCACAGAGGGGAGACAACGATCATTATTTCAACATGGCTCAGCCAAGATTTAAATTAGTACTGCTCATGTAACAACTGCTAATGTATTTAAAATGATCCAACTGATTTCTAAATATAAAATAACTACAGCACATAAGAAAAATGCATGATGGGTATACACCCTATTTAATTCCCAAAGCAGGTGATTGAGCAAGATAGGAAACACCCTGATGTGTAAAGAAGTTTACACCCCTAAGCCAGTATCAGCTTTCAGTCATTATCACTGCCATGTGTAGAATTATTGGTACAGCTACAAACGTTGCATTACTGAAAGTGAGCAGATAATCCATGTCAGGCAGGACACTTTGAGCTGGGACAGGTTTATAAACTATCATTTCAATTAAAAGGACCTGGATTTCACTTTAGATCTTGCTGCATGCTGATTGGTCAGTCTCCTATAATCACGCATATGTCACTAAGGGTGTTTTTCCACCGCACCAGGTACCATACTTTTGGTACTTTGAGAAAGTACCAAAAGTACAATACTTCAAGGTGTTTGTTTTCCGCTGGTGTAAAAACTGGTACTGACGCCAAATGACATCACAACTCGAGGCCGGGTACTTTGTACTGAATTCAAAAAATGGCTGTAGTATATTATACGGCTTGGCAGTGTGCAATATTAATACCAACATTGCATGTTATGCACATATAATTCTTGCATCTCTAGTCAGCTAAATTAAAATAAGGCTTTTTCTTATTTGCAATTCAGTACGGACATTATAGCGCAGGGGGGTAAAGTTTGGCTAAAATGTTTTTACTCTGTTTTTCTGTCATAGGGGAAAAAAACCTTAGCAAGCTTTGTAATTTTAATTATTATTCCTTTTATACATTCTTATATGTTTAAAAACTCACGCTCTAACAAACTATGTTTCTCAGAAAAGAGCTAGATGCCTAAATTTTGCTGTAACTGTCACCTGTACAATGATAGTGAAGGAATTCTATTCTATTCTAATAGCTGAATCATCTGAAAAGGTATTATTTTAAGAGATAGCTTATGATACAATGAAAATCCTACAAAAGACTTTTTGAAACAATGAGCTCTGGTTCAATTGTGCAAAAATCTCCCTCATGTCATGTCCAGAAGCTGAGGCCACAAAACATATTTCAAGCACACAATTACAGACTATGATGGTCCGTGTTACAATATTTCGACTTTATAATGGGTAAATATTTTTTACTTTTAGTAGATTATTCAATAAATTGCATAAGATATTACACACTATTATAAAACAGGCTTTGTGTTAATGATTTTGCCCAACTGTAGGCTACTGTAAGTGTTCTAAGCATGTTTAAGGTAGGCTAGGCTAGGCTATGATGTTTGTTAGGTTAGGTGTTCTGTATTAAAATGCATTCTCGCCTTATAAAATTTTCGCCTTACGATAGGTTTATCGTAAGCTAACCCCATCGTAACTTAACCCCATCGTAACCAGCAGAGAGGCTTTATTATACTTTGTCCACTAGTTCTTCATTGTTTTCTTGACGATCAAAGAGAAAGCATCTCTTATATGAAGTTACATTCATATATTGATATGAAGTATGTGTGAGATTTGCGGTGACGTGATAAAAGGCAAACACATCCATACACACCGAGTTATGTTGGATCACTACTTGAAGACTGCTTGAAGCAGACTTACTTCAGAAAGTACCGCTGTCCGGAGGAGGTCTTTGCCATCTCCCACCCTGGCGGGAGAGGCACATCATCGGGGATTTCATAGGAGGATTGGCGATGGTGCTGCGAGGAGGATGCAGGAGGTGCAGTGCCAGCCAAGGCTGCAGGAGACAAGGAGCCAAGCTGGAGCGATGCTGGGGAAGAGTGAGCCCGTATGTGCTGTGGCGTGAGAGCACCAGAGGTGCCGGCGTCCGTGCTCACCTGGAAAGGAAGACCGTTCACCTTTGTTAGGCTGAATGTTCTACCTAAAAATCATATAGAATTATGTATATTATACATTCATGGCTATTGATAAGACATTTATGCTACTTCCATATAGTATAAAAAACAACAACTTAATACACAATGAAACAAACGTACATGTTATTCAGTGCTACGGAATAAAATCACAAGGGAGCATTTACTGTTCATTTCCATTCAAGTAACATCTAAATAATGAAGCTAGGAATATGGTAATACTGTTTTGGCCTGCATCGCCTTTACCTCGGAATGATTACGGATCTCCCAAATGAGAATAAAAAAAAAAAAATTGCATATCTTGATCCCATTTGACAGAGACTCTTGAATACTTAAAATTATATGTAAAATTGGGCAGAGGGATCCAGAATTTCTAGGTATACCGAGATTTTGGGAAATATACATATATATCGGGAAATGTCAGTTCATCTTAAAGACAAAATCTTCATGATTTAAAAACAAATCTACCAACACTGGCAGTAGAGTAAGTTGTCCTACAGTATTAACCACTCCATATTTACTGAGATCAGCCAGACACAAGGTTGCCAACTGAGGTTAGTTGGAGTGAGATTTTCACTTCGCGCACACATACACTCATTTACATGTAAGTTACAGTTTTAGTACCTTGTAAATAGTTTGTAGGATTTTTGATGTAGCTAATTTTACGTTTGCAATGGAATAATATAGATTTGCCTTAAGACTTCTTACGTAAGCGTGATAGTCTGAAAGCGTTAGTGTCACGCCAGATGCGTGAGAGCTGGCAACCCTGCAGACAATAGTATTTCATAAAGCAGACACCCCAGACTAAACCGTTTATAGGCTACAATTAATCAGATAAAAAAAAAGTTGGTTCGGAAACTATCTACGAAAATGTTTTGTCATATGTAAACACACATTCTTAAAGACAATTTCCCCGGTCCCTCAATAGTCCAAGCATTCACAAATTAAAGGCCAGTGTTACCTATAATATTTCTTTGGCCTAAGTACAATTTTCCACCATGTAATGGTCAGCTCATCGAAGTATATAGTCCATTGGTAATATTTGAATCTCGATCTTCTACTATGTAATTGGAAAACATCGGATTCATGGAGTATAATTTTAATATCAGATTGGTTTCTTTAAAGTAAGCTGAATAGTTTTGTAGCAAAGTTCATGTTCAAATGCTTCTATATTACACAACACACGATATAATTCAAAACAACGCTCGCCTAGAGATTGCTCATTTTGATCTTTTGTATTTCTTCTGCTCATTATCGCAGTGTTGGCTTCAATCTCATGAATAAAATCACAAACGTTACAGATAAATTGTCAAAAATAAATGAAGGGGGAGGGAATGGTCTCTGAAGTGCAGAGGCGGTGGGGGGAGATGTTGAAGCTTACTTGTCTGGAGTGAGACTTTGGATCTGGTTGTTGGAAGAAGGACTCTGGAAGCTTTCTCATCCTCATGGGTAACGTAGGGGGGACGCTCGCATTTTTCGGGTTCATTACAGCATTGAAAAGCGCTTCCAAATCGGTCTCGGAATCGCCCCGGACGTGGACGATTTGATGACCGACTGGAGGGTTATGTTGGCCCGGATCCATCGTCTCCGAAAGAATTATTCCGTGCGAAAAAGATTAAAAGTCAATCCAGATATTTCGGAAACCGACGCACTGAATGTGATTAAACGCAAAACTCAAGTAGAACATACAAAAATTCTCCCAAAATCCTTGATTTTTCTTTTTGTTTGATTGTTGCAGTGCGCTATATAATATAAACAAACTTATACTTTTTTTAACTATCTAAAAGGAACGTCAAAAAGAAGCAATTTACATCTACAATAACGGTCGTGTTTAATACGTGCAATAGGCTATAAAAATACAACTACAAGCGAATAAAAACTAGCTTTAAAGCATGTTTATTTACTATAAATAAACTTACATTTTAAAATCTATTTTCCCAGTCTCAGACACGCTCAAATTTCCTTCCACGAGATCGGCCTACTTTTCCATGCATAGCAAATCAGCCCTTTTTCATCATGCTAAGTTTTGTTACACTTTGTTCTAAACTTTCGCTGGGACATCAAACTTTTATGACTCATGTGATCCTTGACTCAGAGCAGGCGGAGCTTTGTGTCGTTATTCGGAGAGGGAAGGGGAGCTTAAAGCTGCAAGATTCCCATTTGTGTTAGAACCTGCAACTTTCGCAAGATCGGTGTTTTTAGGGAGAAGAATCTGGTTCCATCTCCTACCCTAGCATGCTGGTAGACATGTAAATAAGCCAGGATTTCCTGAAGACCCACAGAAACCTCTGAACACTCAGGATATCCGAGTAAGATGCAGCCTGTGTAATTCCGAATTGTTGCCTCTTGTAAGTGCTAAAACTCGTATGCAGTTCTGTCGCATGTGAAAACATTTGTCTACAACAAACAAAACAATGTGGATAATTAGTGCCGGTTACTGGCTAAGGGCAAGACGGGCAACTGGCCAGGGTGGCATCTTCTGGGCACGCACCAAAGGCCCCCCTTCTCCCCCGGTACACAGCTTCTACCAAAAGTTTGATGGCCGAAGGTAGTGACGCTTGGGCGGGCACCACATGGACTGCGACTATCACTCCTCACAATCAGAGAGTATTTGTCGTTAAATAGTTTATTTTAGTGCAATAGTGGTCTGAACAATAAAACATTATAAAAACCTAGAATTTACCTACAATGGATAAAACACTCGAAAACTAGAGCTAGATCACGTGCTCTATTATTATTAGGCTATACACATCTTTAATACTATGTAACTGTGACGACAAAAAAAAAAGAAATTACGATAAGAAAAAAATGACTTCTGCCATTGCATCTGTAGTTTTATGCTGCCTGTTACTGTAGGCCAGTGGCATTTACATATTTTATAATTTGACATTCCATTAATCTCAGGTTTTAAAAAGCCCAACTCCAAAGGAATGGTACAGAACATGCACGTGCCGCTTCAGAGGGTCGACAATTAAATAGACAAAATTCTGCTCTTCTCTAGTTCTTGAAGGGTAGCACAAGCCAGATTGATCCTGAAAGGAATTCAAAATATTTCATATTACTCTTGCATGCATATTTGACTGGAAAAATGGCACAATAAAAGTGCACTGTACAACAAAAGTGATAGGGGGAATGCAACAAAATCGCTGTCGATTCATTTTACACTTCAAATAGGTTGTGTAACAGTACGTAAAGTCAAAATATTTTTCTGAACAGCAATAAGAAAGACAAAATAACATATAGAATGATAAACGTCACTTACACAGGCAGTTACTTTCAACACAGTTGAAACGACGGTGATTTCTTTAGTATCCGGATCTTTCCGAACACTGGGGGGAAAGATAAACTTCATGCACTCCAATGTCAATATGATTTCTGCAAAACACTTTACACTAAACAGCGATTCAGTATGAAGGAAGGTGCTGCTGCCTTGTTAGCAATCTGATGGAAAACAGGAAACCTTCAGTTTACTAAAGGGTTTACTGTCATATTCAAGGTATAATCTTACCATCAAATTATTATTATTATTACTACTGTTATATTCATTCTTATTATTAATGATACTTTTATTTTGGAAGCCATATATTGCATCAGGCAAGTCACCTCTATAAACATCTCATGTCGTACACAAATATAAAGTTAGTAAAGCTAAAACTACGAACAGGTGATTCTGTATGAGGTGCTTAAGAATGGTCATGCACTTCAAGGTAGTACTTTTACAAAATTTTAATCCTTCAAAATTTAATTTGGTTGGCATGGAACCAATTCAGTTACATATTATGATCACATTATATTAATTATAAGTTTGTTATCATATTTAGATATATATACAGAAGTTGGTGTTATAACAACATCACTGCTATACCCAGTAGCATACCTAGAAATTCTGGGCCCCCTAATAAAATGTCACCTTGGGGCCCCTTCCCAATTTTACATATAATTTTAAGTATTGAAGAGTGCTGTGCCCCCTGATTCTGCCGGGGTATCCATTCCCTTCTCACACCCCAGGCTATGCCTCAAGAGCAAATGAAAATCAGGTAAGATGTCAGATTGAGCTGTGATTAGCCAGCAGATGGCGATATACATTTCTCTTTAATCACGAAAGCTAAAAAAAAAAATAAAAGTCTGTTGTATTTCAACAAAGCCATCTGATCTTAACCCTTTAATCATCTATCCATTTTCTGTAACCACTTGCCCTTATCAGGGTCACGGGGGGTCTGGAGCCTATGCCGGAGCAATGGGCACTCACACATGGCAATGGCAATGGGCACCCCCCCGTGCAATCTTCAGGTAAAAAAATAAAAATAAAAAATCAGGTACATTCAACACTATACCACTGCATACTGTAATTTGTACTCACCTAACTAGATCTTTGTATATCAATCTGGTTGTCTCAATGTAAGGACCGATGACATCCTCATACTGGCAAAGCTCACCACCTAAGCAGATGTGCTTGAAGAGTCTGAACAGAAATTCTACACGATTTTCCAGGCTGATTATTTCATAATTTTCAGAATCCTCTATAAGAAGCATCTTTGAAAAATAGAAAAGGACCAAAGTACAAATTTAAAAAATTAAAGGTGTTTAAGAAAAAAGAAAAAAAAAAAACACACGCAAGTAGACAATTGTTACTTACTATAGTTCTTACTTATAATGATGAGAACTTACTTTTTTCAGCTCATCAAAGTCAGTGTAGTGTTCATGTAAACATTTTACGATATGACCATTAGGGTGTAATATTCCACTATTGTATAAGGGGTCAAAAATATCCATTGAAACCTTTGTGCATGGAATGATTTCCACATTTACACTGGCAACATCTCTTTCTGCAAAAAGACAAGTATGAAATAATGTTACATGGCTATAATAGGCCTACCTAATACCTAATTAAGACAGTGTGCAGTGTTTAGTGTTTTTCCTTTATGAATATTATACAAAGCAACAAATTGCCATACTGTACTTACTATATAAAATACTTAAGATATACTGTCAGAATTCATGTCATTTGTTTTAGGTTGCTTGGAACCAATTAACAGGAAGCTTAAAACAGGAGGTTGAATTTAACAAATGTTTTCAGCATCAGAATATAAAATGTGCTACTTACCAAAAGGTTTCCACAATTCCAAAGGATCAATCACCTTCAAATTGGAGATAACATTTGGATCTCTGAAGAAATCCTATACAAATGTGCGTTAAAGATGTAGACATTGTTGTCTGGATAACAAATAAAATCTGTAACTTAATGTAAATGTACTTACTGATACAAAATCATGTTTCCTGTAAGGGTGAAACAACTGGTCAAACGTAAATGCTTGCGCAGAGATTCTCCCCAGCATAGACCTATAAGAATTACAGCATTAATTAAAAACAATTAAAATAAAGTTTTGTATTACCTACTACATGAAGGAATTTTACAAAACGAAAAACCATTTCATGAAGAACTCTGTGGTTTGTCTGTCCTGGGTGAAAGCAAAGACTTTGGAAGGAAGCAGACTGAAGGTGAACTGCTGTTTCAGCGCTTGCTCTCCCACGGCCATGTTTGAAGGAAAATATGTAACCATGGTAACAAAGGGACACGGACACACGCGCGCATTGCAGACTTGCACTAAAACCACGTCAGTGACAGATGGACGGTCACGCCTAGTACGAAGCGAGTCCTTTGGGCTTTATTTTCGAGTTTTGGTATAATGAATTACTTTTTATACGTGGTATATTAAGGATTGCCTACTCTTACGCACCTGGTCTGACACGCTTTCAGACTCTCATGCTCACGCAAGACATCTTACGGCAAATCTATATTATTCCATTTTAGACCTAAAGTTAGGTGCATCAAAAGCGTCGGGGTAGTTTGCAAAGCCTACAGACTATTTCCAGGATAATAAATTGTTACTTACAAGTAAGTGCATGTTCAGACTCTTATCGAATTGAAAATCTCACTCCAGCCAGCTGACCAAAGTTGGCAGCTTTATATATTACCATGACCATTCACGCTGCACGCCTAACCTGCTCCGAGCAGGTTTAAATTCTGACTTTCGGATTAAAATATGCGTAAATCCCGCCCATTTACCGAACACGTAGCCTATATGAGAGATTCCCTTTGAGTAAATATTAGGGATGGGCGATAACTAATTTTCTTTTAGATACCAATTCAAGTAGATACCGGGGGTGCTGACGATAAAGCCCCCCATTATTTATTATTAGGTGTTTGTTTCTCAGCTGTTCCTTGTTGTGGCTATATTTAGGTCCACGTGTGTGAAATGACAATAAAGTCATTTGACATCTTGGTATGACTCACTCAAGCTATTAGAGGAACAAAAAGAAGTGCAAAAGCAAGAGCATATAATATAGGGTGACCAGATAATCCATGTCAGGGAGGACACTCTGAGCTAGGACAGGAATTGTATTTTACCATTTCAATTAAAAGGACCTGGATTTCACTTCAGCACTGAGCTCTTGCTGTGTGCTGATTGGTCATTCTCCTATAATCATGCATGTGTCACTAATGTTAATGTGAAACAGCTGGATGTGTCTTTCAGTCAAGGAAACAAACCAGTCAAAGCACAAGAAGAGCTGAACTATTTAGCGGAGCACAGGAGCCTTTCAATTTGAAAGTAGTTTGTAAAACCTGAAGTAGCTCAAAGTGTCCTCCCTGACATGGATTATCTGGTCACCCTAATATAATATAACCCAGGGGTCTCCAACTCCGGTCCTGGAGAGTTACTATCCAGTAGGTTTTCTATCCTACTTGGTTTCTGATGAGCCACACCTGTTCCTGGTATTTACCTGAGAACAGGTGTGACTCATCAGAAGCCAGGTATGATAGAAAACCAACTGGACGGTAACTCTCCAGGACCAGAGTTGGAGACCCCTGATATAACCAAATCTTGATACACATGATAATCAGGTTATACCTTTGCAATTCTCCTGGTCTCTCCCCTGATTAAGCAGACCTCATCTTCTTCCTTTAATGAGAATGTCAATTTAGATGTTAAACAGTATCAGGCAAAATTGGACGAATGCTCAATCACCTACAGAAGCAGGAGGATCTGTTTTTTTTTTTTTTAAATAAACTGTTCTCCAAAGACAGTGACTGCTGCAGCTGGAATTCTGCACACCTGGAAAGGCCTGTAAGTCGTGACAGGTGATGTGTTGGCAGAGGTGGGCATTTCAGGTCCAGAACGTAAAAGTCAAGATTTTGTTTCAACCATCCAGATGAGTATAAACTGTCACAATCCCATAGTACTAAAATCAGAGTATCCATTTGTTAGTACAAATTGTCCATAAGTCGTATGTTCGTAACCTGGAGCATAAAACACATCCTCTGTAGGCGCTCGCGCTCGCTGGACCCTTTCCACACACTCGCGTCTGCCCAGCACTCGCTCGCTCTACAGGTTAGGCTTTTCACTTCGTTGATTGGTCACGTTGAATGCTGTGATTGGCTGTTTGTTCTGGAAGAAGTAGAAGATGACGATCATCGAGCAGTTTCAGTCTATATCATGATGTCGGAGCAATGGTATCTTACACTAAGTTAACATCTTTCAGAGATGGTAATCGGAGTCATACATAATTAAACGCCACACATTATCAACCTTGTGGTGGTGCTCTTTTGCACAATACTTTGTCAGACATTTTTGAATTGTTGCATTCTTCGGTTTCACAACGAACTCTGAAACCAAATGCTTTTTTTTTTCTTTTTTTGCAGATGAAACATTGCTTTACCCGTTGTCTTAAAGAAATCTCCTGAAGCTCTTTGTCAAGAAATGTCACCAAATGTGAATATGAATAATGATTGTGAACTTTGGATGGTGTAAGGTGTCTAAGGTTTTTTGTTAATCTACAGATTAATAACGTATAAAGACGGACAGAGAATTCAGAATTGGTAGTGGAAAAACGTCAGATTTTCTCTCTTTTTTTTTTTTAATAAAGTATGCATACTGAAACTGCTAAGATGTGTACTTTCCTCAGGGGTGACAAGTCAACCGAATCGGCCCAGTTAACATGAATCGAAAGCCAAATTTTAAGTTCTGACAGTAAGCCTCTCTAAAGGAGTCCCCCTACAGGAAGATCGCATCACTGCATTCGGACCGGAAAATCCGAATAAGGAGCGAACTGCAGCCTTGTGATACCTCGGGGGTAATTAATGGGGAAAAAACCTTAAGTTCCTTTTTTTTAATCTTCTTTATTTATGAAAATTCTTCACCTTAACCTTTTAAATTATTGCTTCATTAGGCAGATAATTCTCCGTCATGCCAATCTGCAGTAGTCACCCTGCATTATTTAAAAATTGTTCAAATGCACTTCCGTTCTTTCTCTTTAAGGGAAGTACCTGCCTTACTGGTGGAAAGTCCCCGATAGCGCTCACGACGAAACCTAAGATTGTTTCTCATTTTTCCCTTTTAGGGGGGAGGGGGAATTTCTCTCGCTGACGCTTCTAGCTCGTACGTTGTGGAGCAGACAGCTTCACCTGCTGCCAGGTATGTAAGTCCATCCAAACCGCGTTATATATAACCGTATTATCTACGTATTATTTAATTTATACTGCGGGATTTTGACGGTTATTAATCTGAAGGGACAACGTAAGGAACTAAGTGTGACTAGATCATGACGCAGCCTGATTGGCGGTGACTAAAAGCGCTTCGTACGAAGTCTGCGTCTTTATAAGGGTGACTGAGACCGCGAGCCCCATTTCTGCTTCGAAGGCCACTTCCGGTCGGGGCCATTTTCTCGTGAAATTCTTAGTAGGAGAATCTGAGGGCGAGTCAGACTGCCGGACCGGGGTAAGCTGACATCTCACCGCGACACCGATTTATAGTACTCGCTGATTAAGTCATTTTGCTGTGTTCTATTGCGTGGCCGTTTCTAAGCTGTGTTGCGCTCGGTGTGTATAAAACCAGCCGCCGGTGTGATGGCGGAGCCATTGTCTGTCCGTCCTGTCTGACACCGCGACGACGTGACTGACTCCATTACGTTTAAACATTATCTGAATTACTATCCTGCACCGTGTAAAATAGCCGAAAGCACGTCTTTATGAAAACAACACTAAAAGCTTACGGTATTGTCTGGTTTAGTTTTCGGATTTTGTGCAGCTGTCTGGCGTTTTTGAGGCAGTTCTGGTATATCTTGGCTGTCATAGGACACCCTCTGCATCAGGTCTTACTTGTACATTGTAAATTAAGGGTAATTTCTTTTTACCTATTTACTTACTTAATGACTGACTTATTTATTGTCGGGTATATTGTTTGCTTAGCTGTTTAATGATTAATAATTGCCACGTCATGTGAAAGAGAACTAGATACCAAGCATCACTTTTTTTTAAAATCTGAGGTATGGAAGACACACCCACTTACTAGGACTGTATGTTCTTTGGGCGTTGTCGATGTCCAGTACTGGATTTCTGGAACGGGTATTGTACAGTTTTAGTACATTTAGACCACTGTTTCCCAACCAGATCCTTGGTGGGCCAGCAGACAGTCCACGTTTTTGCTCCCTCCCTGTCTGTGGGTCTCAGAGGACTGCATTGGAAAACATTGATTTAGATTTAAACAAACTTTTCGGTCACTAACAAGTTTCTATTTTTTTTTTTCTTTCCAACAGGTCAAGAGTGATTAACAGCTGCCACTATCTGAAATTCATATATATATATTTTTTTAAGTTGGTTTATTAATTCTGTCATGGATACCTAAATACCTCAATGGGATGTCCATTTCAGGGAGAGAGGTTTGAATCAAATTCTGGAACTTCCATTTTCTTAAACACACCCTGAATTATCTTTACTAAAGCATAATTTCATTCACAAAGAAAGTACCCATGTGGAAAAAACTGAAAAACACCTGTCTTTGTATAATGGTACTTACCAAGAGAAATGGAGCGACTCGTATTGATGACGATGCAGGGTGATTTTAAAATCTTCCATTGGTCATTTTTTTTCTAGTTACTTTGGAAGTTTAAAAATGTTATTTCCCATCTCAGCACAGACCATAAAAAAGAGTGGCAGGAGAAACTGAGTTGAAGGTGTTCATACCATTTTCTTGAATGGCATGGTTATGGCTAAGTGTTCCCTTTGCTGGTTTCAGAGCAATAAAGAGAAATTTAATTGATGAAACTGGAGCTGATTTATACATTTCTTATTCATTTTTGTCTTAGAAATACAAGTACATTTTGTATTTTTTATTCTCAGTCATTTGGAATATTAATTCAAACCTCTCTCCTTGAAATGGACATCCCTTTTTCTTCTTCCACAATGGAAATTTTACAAAACAGCAGTTTTTTAAGGGCGTTGTGCAGCAACAGTGGACCGGCAGATTTGCTGTATGACAACACCTCTGAACTATTCCGAATCTCCACATTTGCGAAATTCCCACCCACTGTGGCTGTGACGGAGAGGAGTCTTGCACGTGCTGGGTTTTATTACACGGGTGTTGGGGACCGCGTTCAATGCTTTCGTTGTAATGCGACGGCAGAGAACTGGCAGGCAGGAGAGTGCCCGACAGAGAGACACAGGCAGATTTCCCCAACCTGTACATTCATCCAGAGCCTGCCATCTACTTCCAGCCTCTTGTCATCTTCCCACTCTGCATTTTCCCCCCTGCGACACTTAACAGCTTTGCAGGTGTCTGCCTCTGTGACCACCCCTGCAGCCACATACCCAGGCCAGACGGAAGAACAGGTCGGATTCTTGGGCTTCCCAACAAGTCCTTTAAGCTCCCGTGGCTTGGAAGATGCGTCGCATCAACGTCCGGCTGCCTGTCACAATGCAGGCATGTGCCGCGAACAGGAACGTCTGGACTCTTTCCAGAACTGGTCTTATACGGCCGTTACCCCAGCTGATCTGGCTAAAGCTGGCTTTTACTACATGGGTCAGGCTGATTGTGTGGCCTGTTTTTGTTGCGGCGGGCAGCTCAGCAACTGGGAACCAGGTGACCGGGCAGTGCTGGAGCACCAGAGGCACTACCCAAACTGCCGATTCGTAAGAGGAGAAAGAACAGAAAATGTGCCAATCGCTGTCGGTGGACTGGTCAATGTTTCTAATCCATTGATGCAGCAGTGTGAGGAAAGATTATTGACATTCGTTAATTGGCCTTCTAGAATACCAGTGCGACCGGACCAGCTAGCCAAGGCTGGTTTTTATTACGTAGGTAAGGGCTCGTCTCTTTTGCCTCACTCATTAAGGTAGAGCGTAATTTCATTAAATAATTTTTTAAGGAAGGGGAAGGGAAAATATAGCTGTGAAGACAGTTTGAATGTTTTTTTTTTTTCCTGTTTTACAGGTCGCAATGATGATGTGAAGTGTTTTTGCTGTGATGGCGGACTTAGATGCTGGGAATCTGGTGACGATCCCTGGGTGGAACATGCCAAGTGGTTTCCAAGGTTTGGAATGTGTATTTTCAGAAGTGCTGTGAATGATATGAAATCCAGTTTTGTTTTATTTTGTACAATGCCTTCACCCCTCTGCCCTCTGTGGGATGTTTTTACAGGTGTGAGTATCTTCTGCAGGAGAAGGGCCAAGAATTTGTTCATCAAATTCAAGCTCGATTTCCACGGCTGTTTGAGCAGGTAGTTGCAGGTAGAGCACTTGCATATCAATGTGTTAAAAATATCACGAACACCATGAACAACAGTTTCTGTTCTTTTCAGCTCTTGACGAATGGTGACAGTTCTTCCCGGGAATTTGTTGATCCCCCAGGTATGTAAAATGTTCATTGTGTTTATTGTACATTTGATAAAATAATCATTGACTGTCTGCACTTTTTGTCAGTCAAGACAAAAGGAATTTCTCCTGACTCACACAGAAAGCAAAAATGACCTTTTACTCATTCAAGGGGTGCTTTTCAAGAATGTAATTTTAATATTCTGTTAAACCTTTGTAGTGCTATTACAGTAAATGGTGTTATTTTAGAGAAACCTTCACTATTTATCATCACTTAGAACAAACAGAAGTTTCCAACAACTGTAGTTTTTGTACAAATTTTTGTATGTATTTTGTGTGTGTGTGTGTGTGTGATATAATGTGAATATATATGTCTTATATTCCTTACAAGGGATTTGTAGTTGCACAGATTGACCAAATCTTGCTGTTTATGAATCGTGAATTTGGAAATGGTCATATTAGCTTTCTTATTAATTAATTAATGAAGGTGACAGGCCATCCAACTTTCACCTTATTCTTGGAAGTTGTGAATTTTTGGTGATACATCAGACTCACCATGAATTTAATTGCAGTAATAAATGCTAACACTTTGTTTCAGGTTGAGCTTGTATTTTCACGCTTAACTTGCCAGTTTTATTGGAGGAACACTAATATTGCTTGTGTGCAGTAATTGTGTAAATGTCGCTGGAGGAGCTGTTCACTTTGAGTAGCAAATTATGTGCTGTGTGTCTTCAGTGGTCCATCTTGGTCCAGGAGAAGAACGGTCAGAAGATGCAGTCATGATGAACACGCCTGTGGTGATGTCCGCCTTGGAGATGGGGTTTGAGCGGAGTCTGGTTAAACAAACTGTACAGAGTAAGATTCTTACTAGTGGGGAGAACTACAAGACTGTTCAAGAGCTGGTGTCAGACCTACTGAGTGCTGAAGATGAGAAGAGAGAGGAGGAAAAGGAGAGGTTTGCAGAGGAGATGGCCTCAGGTACGATGATCGCTTGTAGAAAAGAGACATACTGAGCCATGTTTGGTGCTGATAAAGGGAGGAACTTGCAGTGCTCACAAAAAGTAGTGATGCTTGGTCAATTGGTTTTATAACAAAAATCAATGCTGACAAAAATGTTTCATACAACCAGAAGTTTTAAGCAAAGTCTTCATTTGTAGTAGTAATAAATTGAAACCCAAATTTATAGTTGTAAAAGAGCTGTTCTGAGTTCAAAAGTTCATTGACGAGTCATTTGGTATTTTGTAATTTGTAAAGCCTTTGCAATAACATAAAATGGCCAACGTGTGTTTAGTATCCCTTTGGGAGCCAGTGACTGTGATTGCACATAATAGCAAAATGGCAAAAAACATGAGTCAGTCAATAAAATTGACACTTAAGAAAATGTCTATGTTGAAGATATGTGCAGATATGTTAAACATTGCTTCTAATTGGACTTTTGTTATGAAACCAAATTAACCAATGAATTTGCAACATTTTTCCAGAACTAAGTGAGCACCCCAGCACTTTGTGTGAGCACTGTATGAGCTGTGGAATTTCCTGAAATGTTTCTAATATTCTGTGGCTTCCCGAAAGCAGGATTGAGCTGATTTAAAAAAAAAAAAAATGCTTTTTAAAAGATGTCATGTATTTACATTGTTTCCAGATGGCTTCACTTTTTTGAAAAAGCACCACATCGCCCTTACTCAGCGTTTGAAGAGCGTTCAAAGCTTGATGGACCACCTTCTGGAGCAGTCTGTCATCCTCCAGAGGGAATACGACACCATTGCCAGTTGCACGTCAGTCAAACAACAGACCAGTCAGCTAATTGACTTGGTGCTGTCCAAAGGCAATGCAGCAGCTGAAGTGTTCCGAAACTGGATCAAAAAGAACGACGTATACCTCTTAAGAGAACTAATGGGTATTTAATTTTTTCAGCTTTCACAAAAAACAATTATTAAATCTTGACCACATCACTGTGAATACATTTTGATGGAAACTGATAATCGGTCGTCAGGTAGGCACACTATAATGTGGATTTCAAGTGAAGATCTGGCAGCAACAGTTGATGTTCCAGAGACTTTGACGACTTCTACTCCATCCTGGCTCCAAACAAAAAAAGAAAAGAAAAATCTTGCTCTCCTGAATACTATTGTGTAATTGTTCTTCTCACTGCAATTTCAGCCCAGTCAAATGAAGCTGCGTCACCGAGTCAAGATCTTTCAGGTACGTACAGACTTTAACGTTATCATGCAAGGTTCTGATTAAAATGTCCAAAAATGCATATTAGAGAGGTGGTGCGATTCCCTGTTCTTTTCTTAACAGATTTGCCTATGGAGGAACAGTTAAGACGACTGCAAGAGGAGCGTACTTGTAAAGTGTGCATGGACAAGGAGGTCAACATTGTCTTCATCCCCTGTGGACATCTGGTGGTGTGCAAAGAATGTGCGCCATCGTTACGCAAGTGCCCCATTTGCAGAGGGCTCGTTAAGGGCACTGTTAGAACCTTCCTTTCCTAATCTCTTAAGGCCTGTTATCAAAATTAGCGCATGTAGAGGTAGAACTGATTTTATGATAATCTTGATAATCCTGAGTGTGCTGTGCTCTTTTCCCTGTTATCCTACTGATGCTTATTTGACCTCTGCATGTCTCCTCTTTTGCATACTAAATATGATTTTCTCAACTCCTATATGCACGTTTTCCTAAACGCATTTAAACTTTAAGCAATTTTTTTTTGTTTCCTGGCAAAACAAACTCTGCTGTAACATTGTGACTAAATATGATTGAATGTGCAACAGTCTTCCTAAAAAAAGTGAACTATTTAATTGGTGTGTTGTAATTATTGGGACGTGTTGATTTGTCTTGTAATACTGACAGAAGATTAATTGCCAGGAAACAAAAGGTGTAATACAAACCTGCTTCTTCAAAGAAGTTTAGTTGTAATTAGTGCAAAGTGTGTTTTATTTGTTTGAAAAAACAAACCTGATTACATCCTTCAGTGCTTTTTGATTCAAAATATATAATGTTATAAAACTGTTCAAAATTGTTAACAAATTGTTATACCTGGGCCAACAGCAGATGGAAATTTTGTTGTGAAAGTAAAGGTAGGTATAGAACTGCAGTTGCCATACAGAACGTTGCTTGTGATTGACCTTCCGGATTTGCTTTTTAATCTATACCATAAATCTAAACTATATACTGTACGTACTTAGGGGAATATTAGATTAATAGAAACACAAGTCTCAAGTCATTGTTTCAAATATGTAACAAAAAAAACTAGTGTAAATCACAGATGGGGGGAAAAAATGCATACATATAGTGTATAATCAGATTACTCAAATCATACAAATCTTTTGTCCAGTATGTCTTTATACAGTGCTTTAGGAGGAATCTCTTTATTTCTTTGCTGTTGATGTAGTAGTTTACATCTTAAAATACACCATGATGCAGCCACCTTCTGAAAGCCTTCCCCAGCAGCACAAGGAGAAGGTCTGGCCTCGTCTTGGGTGGCAAGTCAGCAGCGTAATACATACTTTATTAGTTGACTTAATTTTCCATTTATATGAAATCCTATATAGAAAAGAAGTGTTCCTGTAGATCATTGGCTTTGCTCCCGTCCAGATTTTAAGGGCAACTTAATACCTGAATTATAATAGAAGATGTTGATTTTCAATTTAAATGGCATGTTAAATTTTACATATGAAACAACTGAGTTTTGGTAAAACATGCTTAATTTCCGGACAAGCGTACCATCTTTAGCAACACTTGCATTAATGATTGACTGGCTTCAAAAAATATTCTCATTAAGTCATGAATATGGGCTTGAATATCTAGTGGTAACACCAAGGATAAATATTCTTAAGTGCAATAGCAACACTCTGGAATGTTAAGACCGCAAGTTGTATATGTTGTGAAATGTATTGAATTTATTTGCAAGTAAGAGGGCAAAGTCCTACACCACCTCATCAGTCATGCTTCCTTCATTTTGGGGTGGGGTGTTTACCTATGTATCCAGTGTATTCTCTATTTATCTGTAGAAATAATAGCAATCCTTGAAAAATTATACCTGTTCCTTGTATACTTCACAGATAAGTAAAATTTATGAGTGTCGGAACGAGTAAGTAGTAGGAAAATTACTAATGCTAGACTGGTGTATTTAACATTCTAAATATATTGCAATAGTTTGATGTATACCTAGGGGGAAGAACCATTAAGAGTTTTAATGACCAGTCCCCTAAAATTTCATAGGTAGCCACACCAAAGAGGATATTGTTTTTTCTAGTTTTCTAATTTTAGGCAAGCTGTAGTTTCCTTAACTATCTACCAAAGAGGACATTCTGGATAATATATGCTTCTGGCTGATATCCAACGTTGTATTTCACTTAATCAGTTTGATATAATGCAATGATTGTCTTTTTTTGGGTTGCACAGACAACTATATTAGAATAGCGGTGAACATTGCTACCCTGGCTTAACCAAAGGGTAGCAGAAGATATGACCTTCTTGGATGAATATAAAATCCCCGTATTTCATTGAAAGGTTCCAGATATTAAAAAAAAAAGTATATAATGTTTCAGTGTACTACTACATTTTTGGCTGTTTTACGTGTGTATGAATTAAATATGTCTGTTTCTATTATATACATTGCATGTATAAAAATAGAAAGCAAAGCCAGAAAGCTTTCACTACTAGAAAAGTATTTGGATTGTGGGCATGAGTTATATAAAATATTTCTGAATACATTCTGCAATTAAAAAATCTAGTGCATCCCCATTTCTAGATTATTTTGCAAAATAATAAAAAATGACAAATGGACCATACTGAACGGATTTATAATGTACAACTCTTTAAAGGACTTTTCTGCGGAAAATATTTTTGGGAACAGTAAGTAAGTTGTATAATTTACAGTGCCTGCCTAACTGGGGAAAAATCCTGAAGGGACAATCTCTAGGTTGGAGACTGTATTCTTTGCCTTTGTGTTTGTTATACATACTATCTTTCAAACATTTGGAATCACTCAAAAATTCACATTTTTTATGAAAACTCAGAGAGGGTGCAAAATGAATAGAAAATATAGTCAAGACCATTGTTAGAAATACTGATTTGCGCTTGAAAAGATTTTGTGTTTCAGGCTTGGCTTTCCTCAAAGACTCCTCCACCTACAGCAGCCACGACCTTGCAGACCTCAGGCATTCTAGCTGTCAGTTTGTTGAAATAATCAGTAGATATTTAGCTGCTGTGCTTCCTGAAGCACCACCTGCAAGAGATTTTCTTGATGGGCATTTTTTTAATCTTACCATGTCTCCTACAACAGCCCAATAGGGTTCAGACCCAGTAACTGCGCTGGCTGCTCCATTAGACAGAATACCAGCTTTCTGCCACTTCCCTAAATAGGTCTTACATAATTTGGAGCAGTGCTTTAAGTGATTGTTGTAGGATGAAATTGCAAAATAGAACTATGGCCTTCCTTGTTTAATATTCCTTTTACCCTGTACCAAAGCACGCTCAGACCATCACATCTCCTCCACCATGCTTGACCAGTGGTGTCAGACACTCCTCCAGCATCTTTTCATTTCTTCTCCACCTCACAGATGTTCTCTGTGATCCAAAGAGCTCAAATTTAGATTTGTCTTTTAGCCAATTTTAATATTTTCCTTTTATTGGGCTCAGATGTAGCCTTTTCTTTGCAACTGTCCAGAAGGCCAACATCGGGGAGTCACCGTGTTTCGTGGGGACCTGTGAGATGTCTGTTTCACCAACTAGAGGCTGATGTTTTTTTCCTGTACAGTTGTGCATCAGGCCTCTCACTTCCATCCCGCTTAATACCCAGATAAATAGCTTTAAACTATTCTTTTGACTGCCTAAGCCTTCTGCACAGTGAATATCCATCCTTTCTTTAAACAGTGCTGGATGATGCAAGTTTGAAACGTCTCTTACAATGCGTAGAATTTCCAACAATTCCCAGGTTGGCCTTTCCACCCAATGTGGGCGTACACAGAGCAGCTCTTGGGTGGAATTCCTGTTTGAGATTCCCAAACCATATCCTTCCAGTTACAGCTGTATCCATGAAAATCACAGACAGGACAGCGGACAAGACAACCCTTGACGCTATGCACTAAACGACCTTGACTTTGTGTCAAGTTCATACAAGGACCAAACACCATGCAGTAGCGCTCTTGGGACCCAGCATTCACACTCTTTGTATCGATTTTTAAAAATCGACCAATTCAGAGCTACTCCACTTGCCTTCCATGCAGTGTCTGAGAGACGTGTCCACCACATCACCCCAACAGCAACCAATGGTTTTAGGGCACTGGCTGTCCTCTAGCCATAACTCTTTGAAGATATTTGAGGCCTTGAACGTGGTCCATTAACATTCAGTGTCCCTGGCCTCACCTGGCACATGCGAGGAGTTACAGTTATCATAGAGGTACAATTTGAATTCATCTTGTGCAGAAGCTATAGGTATATGATCCAAACAAACCATAACTGCTCATCTGAGTCTCCTTGGTCCTCATCCCCATTTACTGAATACAACCAACTACCAGGTGGTGATCAGTCGGCAGTTCTAACACTCATCGCCTGAGTGTCCAAAACTCTCTAGTCTCATGATACAACTGCAGAGCTTGTCATTGACCTTTAAGGTGGTGCCACACTTCAAATGACGTCCAGAGAAAATGAATGAATGAAACACGTCGTCGAGGATAATCTGTAGCATATTTAGAATGACACTCCTTTGTTTGTTCCATGTCATGCCACAACACTAGAGGGCACAATGTTCTCAGCGCAGCAGTCCCACAAACAAAAAGTAAAATTATTATAGTGAGTTTGTGAGTCATTTTAACGGAGATAACTGCTCTTTTAAAATGGAAGTTGCTCACTTCATTAGCAGCCATTATTAGCCTAACCTGCAGTATCTCTCTGTCTAACAACGGCACAGACATGCAGCTGGTAACCGCATAACTACTCTTGCTGACCAACCCTGCAGTGTCACATTATGTCAGCTAATTGTGAACAGTGTGTGGGATCTGGGCAAATGAAAAAGCCTCGGAGGACCGTACACGGGCAGTATGCCGAAACGGTGATCTCCGCTCATACAACGTCATATTGCTAAAACGGCAACGATTCCGTTGATTTTGTTTGAAGTACGCAGCCACCTTATGGCCCATAGTGTTCTAGAGTGGTTCTGTACATGTTACAGATATTCTGTATTTTGTACAGAAGTTCAATGACAGTTCACCGCTTACATTCAGGAGGCCATCTCCAAAAAGAATAAACATTAATTATGCAAGAAAAAGGTTTCAACTGTACCACGATACGATATTCAAATTGAAGAGGGTATGAATGTTCATAATCATGATTCAATATTTTATCGATATATCGCCCAGCCCTACCTCCAGTCATAACGTACTTCTGTATTTATTCATCCTACACAATTCTGTTTTCACAAGGTGTATAGTCTTTGCACTTTGTCTTGAGATGTACTTGAGAATGTGTATCTATGCACTTAATGTTATTTCACTGCTGTATGCGAACAAATTTCTTTCTGAAATCAATAAATACCATCATTTCACCCACTTCATCAAGGGCCCAATCAGCTGTTTGGTAATCCGATGCCAGTAAAGTATCAATAATAAAATCAACAGTAATACGTTTTAATGTATTTCAAATATATTTTTAAAATTCAGTACTATTTCTTGCATATAAGGTCAATTTTGAAACATTTTCAGTTTCAGTTCATGACAGAGGTAGTATTTTATGAAAACTTAGTATCATATTTTTCATAGTTCATGAAAATAAAAATTTAAAAAACTACATATGTTTTTATAAATAGTAAATACATTGAGTGAGTCTCTGTAAAAATAAATATGTTCTAGATATCCAGATCCTGAAGATTTCCCCAGCTTGGACCTACTTTAACCTTGACATGTAGTTTTACGTACAGTTTCATTACCGATTCCATTTCCTTCTTCACAATCTGAGCTACCTGAAGCAGAAAAGAAAAACCTTTCAATACATAAAACCCCTTACAGTAATAAAACTTACCTCTGTACAATAACGTTCCCTTTTGTCACTTGTAAATGGTAGTAAGTCATTAATAAAAAGAAAACTGTGTTATAACTTGTTTAAAAGTGTCTATTAATAATTTACAAAGTGTTGCAACCTAATTAATAACCAGATAATAAACCATTCATAAACTCCTTATATGGGTAGCCTTATTGTAAAGTGGCACCCAAAACTCATGCAGGGAATATACAACAAGCCTAGTTTTAGCTTCAGATACACTTTATATATTTACATTGCATATATTAGCAGAGTTTTATCCAATGGGACATTGAGAATGTTTTGGCCCTTGCGCAAGGGCCCAATGGTGAAATCACTCTATCCACCACAGGCTTTAAAACAGAACAAACTCATAACCCACAGAGTCACATTTTCATATTCGGGTGGATCTTCCATATTCACGAATAAAGCAGAACACAAACTATTTCTTGGTGTGTGCCAGTGTACCTGAATGACATCCTCTTCCGAAACCTCGTAGATGAGCTCATCGTGCAGCTGCAGGATGAAGAAGCCCCCCCGATAGGGTGTAGGCGGAGCTCGGCCTTGTCTGCTGCCTGGAACATGACAAGACACAAGCAACTGAAGTGAACTGAAACCCAGGTTACAATGAACCTGTGTGTGACAGAGAGATACTGCAGGTGTTTTCTTCCATCTCCTATCAGACAGTACAACAAACAATAAGCACATACCTAATCCCAGGCTCATATACTGCCACACATATATTGTGACAGACAGTATTATATTACAATACTCCATTTTTACTGCTGTTAACATGGGTATATACATAAGAACACTGCATTTATTTTCCAATCTACATTACATTCACTCTTTATTTTTCTGCATATTTGACTACCGTATTGTATATATTGTATTTTTTTCTTGTTTTCTATTGCTTAATATTACTGCTGTTGCTTAAGGACTTTTCTGCATTCTACTAATGTCTGTTGCACTGTCCATTTCACTGCTGTAAAATGTAAATTTCCCACCTGTGGGACTGATAAAGGCTAATAAATCTTATCTAGAAAGGTGAGGAAAACATATGCGAGGCTGATACATTACTGACACACACATAACCGAAATAGCAGACTTAGCTCCCTGTCACCTCTTTTTGGTGCGTGCTGGTGTGACCTCGGCGCACTGCGAAAGGTCCCCTCCAGATGGCGCTGTATGTTTACAGTGGCTGACTTCACAATGTCAGCAGCAGAGCCCTGAACCGTGGTGTTGACCGCCTGTCGCTCCGCCTACAAAGAGAAGAAAGCGTGCCTCCAACAAAAAGCTTCGGACACAAAACCTATTTTCAGGTTTAGTTATTTGGCGTAAATACTTACATGAGACCTAAGGTACACATTTGAGTCTTTTATTGCTGGCAGAAATCTCTTCCTGCCAAGTATCGTCTGAATGTAGCCGTTTTTCTCGCAGTTCTTCACAGTGTTTCGCAAGAAGGCCTGTATTCCTTAAGTAGGAAAACTGAGATTTCAGTATAGCCGCGTGTTTGATGTCGCCATTAGGCCTTACCTGTTAGGCCTTACCTGTTAGGCCTTACCTGTTAGGCCTTACCTGTACTAACTTTTGAAAATCAGAATTTGGACCATCCCATGGAAAAATTAAAAAGGTCAAATAAATAAATTAAAAAGTTACAAGTTTTTCAGTTATGCCGAATGCCCAGTTTACCTGTGTATCTGGACTTGAATGATTCTATGTAACAAGCAGCATCATTTTCATTGATGTCCATTTGTTCTCCCAGTGATTTTGCTCCCATGCCATAGATTATTCCGTAACAAATCTATGGAGGGGGAAAAAAAAAAAAAAAAGACAGGCAGTTAGTGTTTCTTTAAGGATACACAAAAAGATGATGATTCTGGGGAACTCGCCTGCTTTGCTTGTTGTCGAAGGGTATCGGTGACACATTCTGGGTCTATCATTTTCCACTCGGCAGCAATGCTTTTGAAGACATCCGCTCCACTGTTTAATACCTGGATGAGGCGTCGGTCGCGGGAAAGATGAGCCAAAATGCGCAGCTCCAGCTGCGAGTAGTCAGCAGCCAAGATCAGCCCGCCTAAAACACAGCGATAACTAATTATTGCATACCACTGCATCTGTTCCACCTGCTTATCCAGCTCTGGGTCACAGTAAGCTTATTCCAGGAAGCATAGGGCACAAGGCAGGGGAGTCCCCAGGACAGGATGCCAGCTCATTGTGAAAAGGTTAGGATATTATCAGTAATCAACAATATCAGACAAGTAACCCATTGTCAACATCTAACAGTCTGTCAGTGAGGTAGGCTTTTAGTCTACACACACAAAGCAAGATCAAGATTAATGATGTAGCTTTCAGTTAAGCCTTCTAGCCTAAGCAGAAGAAAAAAAAACAGACCGCTATTGTTTTTCCTCGTATGGTACATGAAGGTATCAGTGTAAGTAAACGTCGGTCATTATGGTGGTACACAACTAGGGCTTACCCTGAGTCGGTGAACCACTACTTCAGACAGTTTTAGGCAGTCTGTGACACACAGTTTAAGTCATGACTAAATCTAGAGCCTTAAAAACGATGATCAGCAGCACAAATCAACCACCAGGAACAGCATCTGATCAGCTGCATGTAGGAGGCATTTGGTCTTGTTCGCATGTCCTTTTGTCATCCTCATTGTTCAAAAAACCCTTGTTCTGCATCCTGGCTGCTGCGAGGCAGCCTGACGCTCTGCCACGGTACCCTAACTTACCCATAAAGGGCACGAAGGCGTGCCGCATGCTGACGGAAAAGGGCATCTCCCCTTCACCAGCTTTGGCTGGGGGCACCACTGACTGGTGAGAAAATTCTGACCCTCTACTCCTTTAAGAGAGCACAAGATGAAAGATTTTGTTAGATACGAGTATATATGGGTATATATCCCTGCATTTCTTTTGCGGCTTCAGCTTGTAGGTTTACCGTGACATTTCTGCCATTGTACTGCACTGAGGTGGCGCAATGTCCGCTGCAATGGCTGGGATCTGAATTTCAAAATCCTTTGGCACATTCTGAATATTGGGCTCAACAAAGCTCACTCTGCCTGCGGTGGTGAAACAATTATAATAATCATTTTGCATTCTGACTAGAGAGTTTTACTGTTTATTTACTGTTAACGAGACTTTTAAGAATGTTGTGATTATACCTGTAGCTGTGTGAGTCTGAGAGACGGGATATATTCTGTCCATTTCCAGAGCATCGTGCCAGCGTTTCTGTCTTTGCAAGGGAAAGACCACTTTACTTAAAGCGTTTGTGATTCTTCTCCACTCAAGAATCACACCAGGCAGAGGGTGGAGAGATCTCAGCTTCTCCAAAACATTCTGAAGGAAAAAAGGGAAAGTTAACAATTAATTGCTAAATGACTGCTGTAAGAGAGACTGCCAAACCTTGCACCAGGCACTGCATGGATGGTCAACTAAATATTTCTGAAAGATAATTTCTGTGCCTTATAAAGCATTATATTTTTGAATACAGGCAAACTGCTTACAATGATTTTTTTTTACTGATTGTAATATGTACTGATATGCACTTTTTCTCATACTTAAATCTGTTTTAATTATTTTTGTTATGTTCTATGTTGTTTGTGAATGTATGCATTAATACTGCCAGGACAAATTGGTACATACAGGAATACCTGACTAATAAAGTGAATCCTGATACTTATTTATACGGATCTCCAAGTTCTTATAATGTACATTTGAGACATAAGACAATAAAACATAAAAGCAGAGTATAAGTCATATTATTCTAACCCTTTGAAAGGAAATTCCATCAGTTTTTGAGGTTAAGGAAAAATACTATCCCAAATCACAGTCATTATATGCATTGATTTAGAGCTTATGGTTTGGCCCTGTAAATTTTCAAAGGAAGATTTAAGCATCAATTTTCAAATGGAATTTCCACTTGAAATACTTTGATGATATGAATATAGATGACAAAGAAAATTAAAAGTTCTGTGTGTGTGCAAAACAGCTGTTAGAAGGCATTCAAAAATGCTAGTGATTTAGTTAAGCTATTTTAGTCCAAAAGAAAGAAATAATCCGTGTGTAAAATAAACTTTGTATTAATTCTCCAAAGAACACACCATAAAAATGGTATGCATTCATTATGAGTATTATTTATCACTGTGGTCAGTTGCTATTGAAACATGCTGCTTCAAATAGGGCCAGGAAAAGAGACTGGATAAATGGGAAAAATATTAAGTTAGTGAATTTTGCAGATAAATGATATTTCTGAGAAGCCCAGTGATCATGAGCATAATATAATATAATTCTTGTTAGTTTTTGCAGAAAACGCATTTAAAAATCTTAAAATACATCTGTAGTTCTGGAACATTGTCATCCCAAAATAGCATATAAGGTTAGAAACATCAACAAAAGGACAAAAACATAACATTTATTATGGCTATTTCTGCACCTAATGTACTTTATAAAATAATATTTTGGTATCTCTGGAAATTGGAAACCCCATGGCAGCTTCAGTTTTATATATTGCGCAGAACGGTGGCTTTAGTGT